TGACCTATGCGTTTGGCTGATCCGTATACCTGGCTGATTATCTGGATAAAACTGCATACATGCGCATTTTAAATGCGCGGTCGGTGAGAGCGCATTTTGTCTATTTGTTTCCAGTCATCTATCTAATGCTGAGGAGGTCTTCATACGATTTTCGCTTGCAATCACTTTTTATTGTATAAAGGACTTTTATGAACTTTTTATTTCATTTACTTGTATTCCTATTAGCATTACAGCGCTGCACTATTACTATTTATTATTCATGTTATGAGGTCCAGTGATTCCTTAGAGTGTCCTAGCAGCTGATTTTTTTGAGTGCTCGCTTTACCTATATTCTACATTCCTAGCTATGTCAAGTTACTGATGTAGCTCCAAATTGGAACGACCAGCTGATGAAAGTGATGGTAGGTATGGTGCCTAGAAGCTTCCGACTTGCTTCTTTTGTCCTGTTTTAGGTCTATAGTTATGATCCTTGATTCTGAGCCACTGTGTCTTGAATGTAGTAACTGCAAAACCATAAACAATTTTGTTAGTTTAGAACAGCCTTTCTCAACCAGGGTGCCCAGGCGTTACCTATAACTCTGGCTCCTCCTCTCCACTCCCTCTTTCTGTAGGGGTCCCTCAAGGTTCTGTCCTTGGACCCCTACTCTTCTCCATCTACACCTCCTCCCTTGGTCACTTGATAAACTCCATGGCTTTACCAAATCTTATAGACTTCACCTCCGCAAAATCTCCAAGATACGCGAGTTCTTAACCTCGAAAACTACTAAGCAACTTATTCACTCCCTTGTTATCTCTCGCCTTGGCTATTGTAACTCCCTCCTCATTGGCCTACCTCATCGCAGGCTATTCCCTCTTCAGTCTATCATGAATGCGGCTGCCAGACTCATCCACCTTACTAACCGTTCTGTATCAGCCACCCCTCTCTGCTAATCCCTCCACTGGCTTCCCATTGCCCAATGGATAAAATTCAAAACATTAACAATAACGTATAAAACCATTTATAACTCTGCCCCAAATTACATAACCAAACTTGTCTCCAAATATCACCCAAACCATTCTCTCTGCTCCTCGCACAACCTCCTGCTCTCTAGCTCCCTTGTCTCCTCCTCCCATGCTCATCTCCAGGACTTCTCCACAGCTTCCCCCATCCTCTGGAACTCTGTACCCCAAATTATCAGACTATCGCCTACTCTGCTCACTTTTAGGCCATCTCTGAAAACCTATCTCTTCAGGGAAGCCTATCCTGCCCTCAGCTAATAATGAAATCTTCTACTCCTCCTACCAGTCTATCCCCCACAGTTACTACCTTTTGTACCATTAGCCCTTCCCTCCTAGATTGTAAGCTCCAAGGAGCAGGGACCTCCTATCCCTCTTGTATTGAACTGTATTGTTATTGTATTGTCTCCCTTAATATTGTAAAGCGCTGAGCAAACTATTGGCGCTATATAAATCCTGTATAATAATAATAAATCCATTTTGAACACTGCTTGAATAAACTGCCTTTCTATTCTACTGTACAATCAATATTCAGGGCCATCTGACAAAACAGGCAGAAATTGAAGGAGCATTTAACAATGTTCAGATCTAGCAGCCAATTGCATTGTCAGATTACAGAGGGAGTGATGTCACCACTCCCCTTATTGCTTGAACCACTGAGAATTCTGCTTCCTACTGCAACTGTGGAAGGAATATCAGGAGGTGAGTATCACTTGAACAGTACAACCCCTTTATACAGGCAATGTCTCTTTGTCCTATGTGGCAAGGAAAAAGTGTCACTTTAAGAATTTATATTCAAAGTCAATTCATGCAAGTGTGAACAGGGCTTAATGTACATTTGATGTTAGACAAATACAGCTATGCCTAATTTAGTTCATGTACAGAGTCTTCAGAAAACAAGGTAAACATTCTAATAGCTGACATATTGACAATAATTGTAATGGATGATTCATGCATTACCAGTTAACTGCTATTCCTTGCTGTGCTGTTAGTACTGTCAAAAGACAGATTCTAATGCATTCGCACAGTCCAAGTACTTAAACTATAGGAGTTCTTGCCGAAGGCAATTAGATGATATGATCACTTGCTATGTATAAGACAAGTGTTGCAAAGGAACATTATGTTTCCTAATTTAAAGTTTCAGGGATCACCTGGATGTGTTCGGTTGGCACAAAAATGCATAGTGGCAAACCTTAGTCAAGAACAAAAAATGAGCCTCAAGCGACATTGATTGTGCTATGTATTTAAACATCAAGCTGAGTTTCATTATATTCAGCTACTATGCATGCTAATACAATGAAAAATTACTGAGCTATTCTGGTTTACTTTGTCACCATCATTATCACAATGGCCAGAATCAGCAAGGGAAAAATATATACTACATAACGCATAAAACACTTGTGGGTCTATGTATGAATTGTTTGTTGTGTGGAGGTGACAAACATCAAAAATTCCCATAATGTCTCTAATACATGTAGTTCCTATATCTCCTGTGCCACCTAGTGGCCATAATGGGTTTTTTTTCCATAAATACCAGTCAGGAAAAAACAGGTTATGACCACTAGGTTGTGTTCTAAATGTATGATTGTCTGTTACATCCATACATCACACAATTTATACATAGACCCTTTAAACACAGTCTTTTTTTATTATACTTTTTAATAATTGTACTGTCCAATGGCAAGCAAATTTCATTATATATCTAAAGCTGAAGAATGCAAAGAAACATATGACCAATTGTCTGGTGCTATGCTATTCCTTTTCCATAATACCAGTGCTATAAAATAAGCAGTAGATATTTCCATTGTGGACACTAACATACATGTTAACACTCCAAAACTCTTTTCAAAAGTAGTCCCACTGCAGCCTAAGGATTTCCAGCTTTGGAAGGAAGTATAAATTGTTTTATTTTAATAGCCTTTCTTTTTTTTTTTTGCTCTGAAGTGCTCTTGAGCTACTTGAGATTTCTCCTCCCTGGCAATCCGATCACACTTTTTGATGATTAAAGCACAGTAGTTGTGACTAAACAGGGAGTGTGTCAAAACACTGGAGATAGACCGCTGCTCTCACACATAGGGCAGCCATAGTCATCTTCAATAGGCTGCCAGGTAGGCAGGAGCATTGTTATGCACAAAGTAAAGACTATTAAAGAAATAAAAATTTAAATTCTTAGACCTTGCCTAAGCTGTAAAATGGTAGGCTACAGTTGGACTTTAAAATTTACTTTTTTTTATACAGACCTAAAAAAAAAATTCAGTTGTAGAAGAAAGAGGGATAATAACTATTCACTTCTAAATTGGCAGCTATGCATCACATTTTTCAGTGAATCCCCAACAACCTTTTTTTACCAAGCATACCTTGAAAGGTGTACTTCCCAATGCTGGTCTCTTTAAGTTGCTCAGCGGGATATTCCCCCACTGCTCAGATGGAACTCACACTCATGGTGAGAGACACAGTAAGCCCAGGGGGCTGGGGTGGGGACTGAGTTTGCCCAGGAATGTTTGGTGAGCCCCAGGATACAGCCTTTGTCCATTGCTGGCTTGTATCACTTTGCCTTGCTTTTTTAGGAGAGACCAAGGTTCAACTTTGTTGTGTTGAGAGGCTTCATGACCTCTTGAGCTAATTTTTCCTTAATTAATCACTTCACCAGTGACTAAGGACCCCAACTCTGGCAGAACTGGGTTCAGGTTTATTGGCAAGTGATTAGGTAAAGTCTTACCTGTTTAGGTCATTGCCATTATGGCTGCCAGCATTTGCACTGTTCTTATGCTGTATTATCTCAGAGTATGTGGCAGAATCATTCCTTACCTCAGCTTAGCGTGCCTTCTTTCCTTTACAGGGCTTTTCTTTTAAATAATGCTCATTTAAAATATTTTCAGGGTGTCTGAGGTTACTCAGGCCCTGATACAGGGTAGATCATCACTGTTGCAGGGCAGCAGGACCCAACCAATCCGTGGCTCCTCAAATGGTAGTGCTACAAAGGCAACAAAGTATCATGCAGTAAATTAAAACTGTTTATTTACCCAGATGTAGTTCTGTTTTGTTGTGTACTAGTAAGGATTCCAAAGGATGTTTTTTTATAAACTAATACCATTTGATCTGGAGATATTTTAGACAGAATTGCCTAGAGGTACAGTCCCCAATATCCCAGGAAATATGAAAACTTGCCATTTAGTAACCCATTATATTTCTGTCTTTGTCATCTGAAAACCTCTGTAAATGATCACAAATCTTTGATCACTGAATTCTGCACTTCTGAGGCTGATAGGGGAGTTCAGTAAAACACTTTTATCGTTTGATATTTCTTTATTAAGAAAAAGGTTCCTGGTTATGAGCGGTGTGGCTCATAACCAGGGGCGGACTGACAACTCATGGGGCCCCCAGGCAATAGGGCATCATGGGGCCCCTGCGTCCTTGCCCAAACTCAAAAAACCTATGAAAAAAGGTACCAGGGGCATCTCATGGGGCCCCCTACTGACCCCGGACCCTCGGCACTGCCCGAGTTTCCAAATGGTCACTCCGCCCCTGCTCATAACAGCTGAGTGATATGCTGTATTTGCCATAAGCAAGCAACCATACTGACAATACCAATCTTTTGACTGGACCATACAAAGTTTGGGCATTAAAATAAATATAAAAGGATCAAATGAGTACATACATTGCATACTAATCTTGGCTACTGGGGAAGGATTTTTAGGAAAAAAAGAGCACATGGTAAAGTAAATGTGGGGAGGGATAAGGAAAATAAGTAATATGAAATGGTAGACAAATTAACAGAAATTAACCAGTAGTAAACTGACCTTCAGAACAGCAGAAGCAAAGTTGACATTTAGGGTTTGCATATCAAAATGATTAAACTTATTGTATGAATTATTTTTCATAACTATCATATGCACATGGAGTATAATGCATACACTATATTATCAAAAGTATTGGGACACCCCTCCAAATCATTGGATTTAGGTGTTCCAATCACCTCCATGGCGCAGGTGTATAAAATCAAGCACCTAAGCATGCAGACTGCTTCTACAAACATTTGTGAAACAATGGGTCGCCCTCAGGAGCTCAGTGAATTCAAACAAGGTACTATGATAGGTTGCCATCTGTGCAATAAGTCCATCTGTGAAATTTCCTTGCTACTAAATATTCCACGGTCAACTGTTAGTGTTATAACAAAGTGGAAGCAACTGGGAACAACAGCAACTCAGCCACAAAGTGGTAGGCCAAGTAAAATGACAGAGCAGGGGTCAGCATATGCTGAAGATCACAGTGCACAGAAGTCACCAACTGTCTGCAGAGTCAATAGCTAAAGACCTCCAAACTTTGTGTTGGCCTTCAGATTAGCACAACACAGTGCGTAGAGAGCTTCATGGAATGGGTTTCCATGGCTGAGCAGCTGCATCCAAGCCTTACATCACCAAGTGCAATGAGATGTAGTGGTGTAAAGCACGCCACCACTGGACTCTAGAGCAGTGGAGATATGTTCTCTAAAGTGATGAAACATGCTTCTCTGTCTGGCAATTTGATGGACATGTCTGGGTTTGGCGGTTGCCAGGAGAATGGTACTTGCCTGACTGCATTGTGCCAAGTGTAAAGTTTGTTGAGGGAGCATTATGGTGTGGGGTCATTTTTCAGGAGTTGGGCTTGGCCCCATAGTTCCAGTGAAGGAAACTCTTAAGGCGTCAGCATACCAAGACATTTTGGACAATGTTATGCTCCCAACTTTGTGGGAACAGTTTGGGGATGGCCCCTTCCTGTTCCAACATGACTGCACACCAGTGCACAAAGCAAGGTCCACAAAGACATGGATGAGTGAGTTTGGGGTGGAGGAACTTGACTGGTCTGCACAGAGTCCTGAACTCAACCTGATAGAACACCTTTGGGATGAATTAGAGCGGAGACTGCAAGCCAGGCCTTCTCATTTGACATCAGTGCCTGACCTCACAAATGCAAGAATGGTCAAACATTCCCATAGACACACTCCTAAATCTTGTGGACAGCCTTCCCAGAAGAGTTGAAGCTGTTATAGCTGCAAAGGGGGGCCAACTCAATATTGAACCCTATGGACTAAGATTGGGATGCCATTTACGTGTAAAGGCAGGCAACCCAATATATTTAGCAATATAGTGTATCATATAATGTAATTATGTCTAATAAACCAGGCACGTAAAGTGAATTCTATGATATTGTGATCTTCAACTTAAATGCTAGAAGTAAATGAGCAAATAAGCAATAATGATTTTGGAGGAAAGAATCGATCACGATCAACTCCCAGATGTAAAAGAGCCAGTTCGTGTCTGAGGGGAGTGCATAGTTTTCATCAACCTTTGACACAAAGCGGAAAACCTGATTCCAATAGGAACACAAATATTTGACATGGAAAAAGGAGAAAGAAGTTCCATATCATCTCCAACACTGAGGCAATTGCAGTGGTAGAATTTGAAGAGTTTGTGTGGCATGATTTATTTGTGCAATATTTTTACAATAATCGCCAGTGATTAGTAAAATGGGAAATTCTGTATGTAAAATGTGAATCCTTTTGCCATGCAGACTCTGTAAAATACGTAGCTAGTTCTGTTTCCCACATGACTATTGTAGGAGTTGTATGGCAAGCCTTGGGTCAACAAAACACTTTTCATCAGATCTTAAAAATAGTACTGAGTAACATTACTGTTATTTTCTTCATAAGATGATGACTTAAGCTCTTGAGCTCTGGGAGATTTTACCCCCTTCATGACCACGGCCTTTTTTTTTTTTTTTTTCGCTATTCAGCACTGTGCTACTTTAACTGGCAATTGTGCTGTCATGGTATACTGTGTGCAAATTAGATTTTTATCTTCTTCTTTTTTTTTACACAAATAGAGTTTTCTTTTGATGGTATTTGATCACCACCCTCTTCTTTATTTTTTTGCAATATTGATGAAAAAAGATAAAAATTTTGAAAAATGTAAACATTTTTTCTACTTTCTGTATAAAACATATCCAATAAAATCAAATGTCTTCATAAATATGGGCCAAAATTCATTTTGATACGTATTTGGTAACAAAAAATGCCAATAAGTATATAATAATTGGTTTGTGTGAAAGTTATATCTTCTACAAACTATGGTATATACAGTATATTTGAAAATGTATCAATTCTGATGTACTGACGGCCTTTCTCATTTCTTGAGGCCCTAAAATGCTAGGACAGTACAAATTATCCACAAATGACAGACAGTCTGAGGCATTTAGTAAGAGGCAAGGTGAGTTTTTTGAAGTTGTAATTTTTTGTCATAATTTATTTGAAAATAAAGAAATTTAATAAAATAATTTTTTTTTTTTAAGGTACTGTCACCAGTGCAGTACAGCGTTGTCATGACCAGTATGGCAGTGATTAGTTTCTTCATTACTATTTTTTTATATACTTTCATCAGAGTATTTCTGTGTCATCACAGTAACACTCTACTATCCTGAGGGGGTGATTGGGGATTTTTTCAATGAAGTTCATTGTAACAGCAACGTTTTCAACTGTCATGGATGGGTTGAAAAAAAAATTTGTTTTGAATAGAGTGGAGAACAGAATCTCTGTAGGAGTTTAATTGATATATGTGTGCTTGTTGAAGAGATTTTAAAGCCCAAGTTCAGTTTAAAAAAAAAAAAAAATAAGCACAAGAGACGTTATTTACCTTCAGTCTGATGTGTCTCTTGTGTTTCTCATGTAGCAGAAATCTTCTCCTACAATGCACCAACAACACCACCATAATCTTCCAGTGTGGCGGGGTTAACAGAACAAAAAGAGCTGTGAAAGGCATTCATCAGAGGGCCCAGTTCATAGAATTCGTACATAATACAGTTTCTATGAATGAAAGATTATTTAAGAATGGAGAGAGCAGACCTTTTAAAATACTCACTCATTTTCCATTCATAGACCACATTTCATTCAAAGAAACTGTAGTAATGGCTTCTTTGAATGCAGTAGCTGGGTGGAATGGGCACCTTTAACTACTTGCCAACCATGCTATAGTCAAATTGTGGCTACAGTGTGGGTAGATGGTTCTGGGAGGGTGTCCTCCCAGAACCCCGCCCCCCTGCATACCCCCGGGGGACGTATTGTAAATGCTCTAAGATCGCTGTGTCCGAAGGACATAGCTGATTACAGAGAAGAGTAAAGGGTCAACCATGTGATCAGCTGTGTCTCCCATGTAGGGAAGAGATCATCACCCAAATCGGTCTGTTTAGGAGAAGTGATATTAAAGGCAGAAATTTTTTTTTTGTTTAAAAAAAAAAAAAAAACATGTCATGCTTGCATGCTCTGTGCAATGGTTTTGCACAGAGCAGCCCAGATCCACCTCTTCTCATGTCCCCTGTTGGCACTCCTGGCCTCTCCCTCCTACCTAGTGCTCCCATTGCAAGCAGCTTGCTATGGGGGCACCCAAATAGGCTCACTCCTGAGCTGCTGCTCTGTGTGTTCATTCACACACGGAGCATGGCTAAACCCCACCCCTGCTCTCTTCTCTTTGGCTCTATGGCTTTTATTGACAGTAGTGGGAACCAATGGTTACTGCTGCTGTCTCATCGAATAAGGAGGGAGAGACACGGGAGAGCCGACACTCTTGTGCACATAGCTGGACCGAGATGGGGATCAGGTAAGATTTGGGGGGCTGGGGGCGCTGCTGCGCACAGAAGTTTTTTTTACCTTCATGCAATCACTTTAACCCCTTTGCGCCGGCCGCACACGAATGTGCGGCCTCCCGGCGTCTGGGCCTAGACGCCGAGCGGCGGTCGCACATTTGCGTTCATGGAACTAAATACATATGTGCTGAGAGCGCGCGCCCTGCGCGCTCCCAGCACACATGTCCGGTACTCACGGAAAGGTCCCGGTCCGCTCTTTCGATCGGGACCTTTCCCGATCATGTGACCGCTGTGACGCGTCATCACGGCGGTCACATGATTCCTAAACCACGCCCCAACCCCCCCGCCTCCCGGCGTCTGAATCTCTTAAAGGGCCAGGAGGCGTCGGCGGGAACGGGTTAAGGACCACTTTAAGAGTGGTGAGAGGCCTATTGGCCACTTTGACATAGTGTTTGCTGTTGTTGCTATTTGCTTTAAGAAGGCTGTTTGCTGGAATATTCTTCTTTTACCCTTTAGATTACACATCTTTCATTAAGGAAGTGCCCACTTCACCACTAGTAATGGAAGTGGCCCCGCTGCTGATAGAACTCAGCAATAAATATTCTCCACTGGCCAGTGACTAGTCAGGAACTGAGACTCACAGATAGGTCTATCTCATTTTTAGTCTCATGGCATAGGTGCTGTTACAGGAATTTTTCTGCTAAATAAAGCCTATTTACTAACTGTTGCAGGTGTTACTCATATCTAAGTGCAGGATGGATCATCACTAGAGCAGGGTAGAAGAACCCAAACAATCCTGTGGCTCTTTCAGGATTGGCACCACGTGTGTATGATGTGAACATAAGGTCGCTTTTCCAAAAGCTGAAGTTGAACCGTAAATTGAACCTTTAGCATAATAATGAGCACACAAATAAATCCACCAAGGAATGTTTCCCGGAAATCAAGGGATATGGACTGACTGGGCCAAAGATCTTATTGAATCCCACTGAAATGTTGTAGGAGGGATTTGGAATTAATAATTTATGCAAGAAAACCCACAAAGAAGTGGTCAAAAATTTTACTGATTTGATGTCAGAAACCATTATGCAAAACTACAAAAAGTAATTTCTGCTAAAGGGGCAAGAACAGCATCTTAGGCCAAGGATATACCTTACTTTTTCCACAGTGCACATCACATTACATCTCTTGATATGTTTGTTGAAGAAATGATTGACAAACTTTCTTTCATTTTTATTAAAATGTATCATTTTTACCTGCAGGCAGTGTTTGAATGAAGATCGAATGTTTGTTCAAATATGTTCAAAGTCAACAATTTCCATTAAAAATATTTACTTCTTCACAAGACTGAATGCTACTGTTCCAAAAGAATGGCTGGAGATTAAACAAATATATTCACCAGATGTCATTTCCAGGGCTATTTTGTAGATCTAGCATGTCTTCTCTATGCTCCATTCCTATCTTTTCTTTGCATTATCTTTTGAAAGATTTCTGAAATTTCAATGAATTGTGTTGATAGTCTGTCTCTGTGACAAAGGGGTCCATGGTAAAAGCAACATTATGTCTGAACTGCCACTATTATGCTACTCTTAAAAAAAAACACACACACATTTATATAGCACAGCAGTAGGCTTTACAATAATGCATTGCATTTTGAAGGCTTTGGGAGTTTGAAACCAGGAGAGAGCAATATAAATAAATGGGAGAAGGAAAAAAAATAGGTGGATCGCAGAGCTTTCTCTGTTGCATTAAGTAGAAAGAATTCCATGGAGAACAGCAGGTAAGCCAAAAAATGTGGGCAGCGGATTATAACGAAGAGTGGATAGCAATATCAGGTTTCTGTTTAAAATTAGCCTCTTATTTGTCTTGTTCTTCTCCTGAAATTGGTCCATGCAGCACATGACTTATCATTATTAATATATGGATGAATTGTCATTCCTAATGTGTATGTTCTGTCATGGAAACAGTTTGTTTAATAA